AAATTTGTTGGTCACAGCACCATGAACGCACCCAAAACACCTTCCACGGCACCACCATCGCACCACTGCACCATCGTCGTCTGCCAAAATCCACCCACTCTCCCAAAACTACCACACGATCCACACCACAGCCATCACCCCACCAACAAATAATAAGTCCTCCACCGCCACCACCATCAACACCTCCCCCTGCACCACCAGCCATAAAAAATCCTGGCACCAGATAATTTACAGTCATCTCGCTCTCACACATTTCTTCACCCACTTTTCGATCTCCCAAAACCCTACTTCAACAAAGAATCCCTCTCATCAGCAACCACCTTCGTCACCGGCAACCAATCCCACCACTCCAACTCCTCACGGGCAACCCAAGCAGCAACCGCATACAACCCTTCTGACGCACGACACTCCTTGAGCTGTTGAGCCACCACACGACTCCTCATACACCGCAAACAACATCTCCTCTACACCACCTCTGCCAAATCAACGGCCCAACCGATCAATTACACACTACCATTTCCTTCGTGCCTTCCCAGCCACAAAGTCTCCCACCAGTCGACTCAAAATCAAGATGAACAACATCGATTCACACAGCCAATTGAAACACCCAACATCCTAATCGAACCAGCTATTGCTGGCAGCGTCGAACCAGCTGCTGATGTCAAAGCGGGACTCTGGGATTCGTCGAAGGCTGACTGATTTAGAGGCTGTGTCGACTGTGTTGGACTATGTCAACTCGAGCGAGTCAGGGCTACAGGAGAAGGCCCTGCACCTGGTGCTGAACCTCAGCTTAGATGATGACAACAAAGTGGGATTGGTGGCAGAAGGCGTCATCGAAAAGGTGGTATCAGCCTTACGATGCGGGGATGGAGACTTGCGGGCGGTGGCGGCCACTGTTCTGACGAACCTGGCGGTGGTGGAGGTCAATAAGATCACTATTGGGTCCTATGGAATGAGGAAAAAAGCTGCCACGGCTTTATTCACTCTCTGCTCTTTCCCTGACAATTGGGTTCGGGCTGTACAGAATAACGCCGTTTCGAGAGGTGGAGGGGGAAGGGTGAAATGGTAGAGGGGAGGGGAGGGGAGGAGAGAAGAGAAGAGAAGAGTCGAGGCGAGGCGAGAGAGAGGGGAGGGGGTGGAGAGTGAAAAATTAGGGTTAGGGTGTTTATATATCACCTGATTTTTGAAG